AGAGAGAGAGAGAGAGAGAGAGAGAGAGAGAGAGAGAGAGAGAGAGAAACGAAAAAAGAGGACCGACTGTACGAGACGAAGAGCCAAAGGACGGAGCGGAACGAGAGACACGTCAACTGTGAAATTGCTCGAGCCATGGATACGTAGAAACATCGCGCGTTGCATCGTGGAATATGAAAGCAGAGACACAGACTGCAAGTGTACGCGCAGTTAAAAACTTTGAAGAGTAACGATGTTAGATTAAATTAGCTACAGATCAAAAACGAAAGTACTGCTCTCGTTGGTCGGTTCGAAGCGCGAACGGGTACTCTTCCGAGCAGATAATACGTGTCGCGTCGAGTGGTTGAAACGCGAGGTTACCATTTCTGTGCAGAGGAAGAAATCGTTTCGATACTTGCTAAAGAAAGAAAGAAAAAGACGAAACAGTTGTCGTTGGTAATCGAAGTGGTCGCGGAATCTATACCGACGCCGGCGCCGACGCGACAAATCCAGTGTAAAGAAAGGGAATCCGCAACGCGCAACACTCCTGACCTTTCAAAAGTCTTGTGCAAGCGAAACTGTGGGGCGTCTCGCGTGCTTTCGACGAGGCTGCATCTCGAATCAGCTCGAACAAAGAGGGAGCTAGAAACACGGACAACGGTTCGACATTTCCAGCAATAGCGGAATCGAGAGCAAACGGGTTCTAGATTCTTTCGGTCTCCGCGTTAAATAACTCTACTATTTTATGCGATCGGAGGAATCGTTGGTAACGAGTGTTTATAGGCTCAAGGGAAACGTAAAGTTAACGTTTGGAACGTTGCGTCGACGATCGGACAAATTTCACGTCTCGGAAACTTTCTCTAACGCGTTTTAAAAACCTTCCTCTCGTAGCAGGGAACGAGAAGCGCGAAAGTGCTCTCGATACGGGACGCGTCTCCTAACGCGTTAAGGCAGGTCTTGAAAACAGGTCTCCCTGGTCTCCATCCATTTCTTTCTCACCTTCTTCTTCGAGCGATACGTTTGACATCCGATCGCAGCGTTCGGACCGTGCGAAACGAACGAGTAATCGCGTTAATCGACTATCGTTGGAATTTTTCTTTCAAAAACGGTGTACAGCAAGCTTACCTAAATTGTCGCGAAAATCATAGAAATTCGGATGCGTACGAGGCGCGTATGTTGTACGACGTCGTCCAAGTATGTAATGCGTTTGGTGCGACGAACGTGCAAACGCAAACAGTTGTATCGAGTGTACGGGTGTACCGTTACCGAGGTATCGATTCGTACCGATCGAATTACGAGAACGGAGTCTGCATCTCGCTTATACCGTATCCTTCGATACGGTAGATCGCGCGATTCGAGTAGCGACGGAACAAGACAAGTGAGAACGTAACCAGAGACACGCGATTGCTCGATCTCGAATCGCAGACAATTTTTCCGCAAAGTACTTGCCTTTTCGTTCGTATCCCAAAAAACCGCGTTTCATGATCGAAACCGTCCACGTTTCTATACGTTTCATCGCGTATCCAACGAATAGGAACATTTATCCTGAACACGGCAAACACCGACGCGACGCCGCGAAACTTTGCCAAGGATACTAGGAATGTGGGACAAGGAAAACCTTGCGCCTTGGCTCTGATGCGTTTTACAGCGTCCGTTCGAAACTACGATTCATCGAATGCGCCGTAACTGGAATAATCGCCAGTCGATTCTCCGACGAAATTGCTTTATCGTTTTTAACCAGTCGAGTGCGTTCGACATGTGTACAAGTTCGCATTCTGTGGAGATCTTTAAACTTGATTTTCGGTCCTCTGTTGTCGCGACGAGTCAACCGATCGATGCGTAGATACTTATCCTTTCGGTAGCTGCGGTCCGCTTGGAATCTGCATCCGCTGAATATGCAACGCGACCGACCACCTCGACCTCTCGACCGCTTCGCGTGCATACACCTATTGCTTTTTTCCCGAACGAAAAAACGGACGAGCTCCGGCAATGTTTAATTTAACGTTTGTTCGCCCAACAGCGACAACGACCAACAGTCGTTCCTTTGTCCAACTGCAAGTACGTATCGTCGAAACGCGTGTTCCAGCTCGGACAACTATACAATAGAACGAGTGCAACGGTGACGGAATGTAATTTACGGAGCGACGTCTGCGAAAAGACGAGAGGATCCGTTGTATCGTTAGCGAGCAGACGCTAGTTGGTTCGCACCGATGTCGGTTGTTCGAACGACCGCGTAACATTCCAATCGGGACAGAGCTCGTTTACGTGTTTCACGACTCGCAAGCCAGAGCTCTTTTCTTCGGCTGCGAGTCCGCTCGAAATCGTGACAAACTCGTCGATTGCGGAAGACCGTAGCCTGTGATCGAAAAATGATTTTCGAGGCTGGAATACTCGGAGCTCGGAACTTTGCAGGAAACTCGCAGCTCGACACCGAGGAAGGCATCGCGCGAAAGCGAAAAACACTAGGAAAAGGAGAAAGAAATCGAAGATAAGATTGCGCGACCGGTTCTAATGGGCTACCGAGCAAAGTACAGGCTTGCGGCTAGTCCTTTTCCAGCGATTACGATGTAGAAAGAGGAAGCGAACGTTGCGGAGGAGGAGGAAGACCATGTTTCCCCCGACTGCCGTCGGAAAGGTATACGAGGCTGTTGCAAGGGCATTGCGCAACTATAAATTTTAATTGACCGTGCCGCGGCCCTAGCACGCTAAACCCGAGGGAAGAGCTGATCATCCGTCAGCGAGCGCGACTGCGGACGCGTGTCTTATCGGGAGTACGTGCAAAGGGTTCGCGAAAAATCATTCGAGAAACTCGCAAGGAAGGAAAGAATCAACTATCGATCGTCACTCACCGTGTAGCTGTGCGAGCGATTGCAGTGTGCTGGCATTGCAGTTTATGTATCCTGAAACAAAAACGTAACGTTTCGATGAAAAATGCATTTCGTTTGAGAACCGGTGCCTACCTGCCTACCGGGTCGCGTAATCTTAGGTTTCGAAATTCCATAAATCGTCGATGCGGTGTCTCGTGAAAGCGTCGCGTCCAAAAGCGGCGCGACGTTCGTTTTGCGAACTTGTCCAAAGATTTATCGTCGAAAAAATGTCATCGTGTCGGCCGCAAAAAGCAATTTAATCGTCGTTCCTTTCTTCTCGGTCGCGCAAACATTTGCCAATTGATAATTACGCAGCCCGTGCGTTTACTCTCTTAGAAAATTGATTAATTACTTTTCCGTATGCGCGATGCGCAGAGTAACGGCCGAGCATATCGTGTCCGTTCACCGTACAACTGTTGTTGCCACCGTACGACCGTATCGTATACGTATCGTAGCACGTTTTACGAACCAGTTACGGATATTTTCTTTCGAGATAAAAAGTTGTAATTTCAGTTTGTATAACAAATCAAGGGTTTACCGTACGTTTTTCACGCATCTATCTGCAAAGATCGCTCGAGCGCGGTGCGAAAGGTAAAGAAATGGGACAAACCGCTCGCGTGCGGTTCTCCAAGATCGCGTTGCACCGTGTCGTAAGCATCGCATCGGTTCGAATTCGAAAGCCCGGTGCCGGACATATGGGTCGAACCGCGAGGAGGTTTCGCAATTTCAAAAAAGTCTCCGTTTTACCGTAGAAGGAAAAAGCTGACCGAGGAAACCGAGGAGACGCTTCGCTTAGGTATCTCGGTGTCATTTCCGTAAATCGATGCATACGTACGAGTACACCTACGTGTACGTATACGCGACAAGCATTGAACGTTACGACGATACAAAATGTAAATTTTGTTGAAAACATTCTCGTGGAATCGGGGAGCTTTTGTAAACGAAAACCATCGCGCGGGTATCATCTACGAACAGGCAATCTTCAACGACGAGTCTGTGCCCGGAGAACGGCGAAAAATGAGCAAATAATAAATCTCAGGTCGTGGCAGCCGCGAAACGATTCGCGGGACGTGCTCGTCGTGACTAATCTCTCGTACCGTTACCGTAATAGCGATGTCAGGCGCAAAATCATTTTCTCCGCGAGCGTGCGATACCTACTCGCAACAGAGATACATCGGATAAAAATAAGGACGTTGTTTCGTGCTCGAGCGCTCACGGAGGAAGATAGAAACGCTAGAAACGCTAGAAACGCAGGGAAGTTGCGTTTTCGCGTTTTGCGAAAGCATCGCTTGGCAGCGTTCTTGAAAGTTTCATTCACACGAGCTCGCAACAACGTCGCACGCTTACGTGTAGGTGGGCATCTCCTTTTCATCGACCTTGCCAACCAGCGAAACGCACGATGCACCGATGCAGCTCCTTGCTCCGATTTCTATCCTCGCCTATTCAACGACAGCGTTTCATTCGATTTTCCGACTGGAATTCATTTCTCTTAAATGATCGATACGCGAAACGAGAGGTTTTCGATTACGAAACGAATGGAAGGTGGGTGGCCGATTCGATCGGCTTACACGTGTCGGTAACAGAAAAATTCTCGAGCAAGACGATCCGCCCTCTGGAGCGAGCCAGTTTAAGTAACCGCGCGTTTGATTCTCGAGTTCTAAACGGTGTTCAAGAGAAAGTATCGCTTCGATTTACCGGCGATTTTGTTTTCCGTACCGTGTGCAAACGGAAAGATGCGAGCAAGCGAGTCGATGACGTCTACTTTGCTTTCGTCGCGTACGCAACTATCGAAAACTATCCTATTACGGTTTTCAGTAAAAATCGTGAATTCGAACTAATTAAAAAAATGTACAATTTGCATCGCGAGTGGCGGTGGAATCGGTGTCAGCTTCAACGAGTCGACGCGGCGCACCGATCGAAGTATTTGCGAATCGTTTGCTCTCGTTCTTGTCCGTGCGCGGATCTCACTTCGGAAACGAAACGTTTGTTTCGAGCGAATGACTCGCCTTTTCTTGCCGCGATAAAGCCGGGCCACGAAACCGTGACAACTTGACTTTTTGCCAAACGAGCCTGTCCCGTGTCGCGCCGCGCGGCCGTTTCGATGAAATTTCCAAACGCTTTCTCCTCGGTCTCGCGACCGAAGCCTTCGTAATTCACTCGTCGCGTATCTCCGTTAGACCAGGCCGACGAGCGGTGCTCGAAAATACCAAAAACATCGGCGAGATACCATTTCACGATTATTTTACATTTCAAATATCGTATTCGCGTGGTTCAACGCGAAAAAGCTGTGTACACGCGTAAGTAAATAATCGAATTCGATGCGCGACAAAGGCTTGCGATTGCGCGACGATATCGCGTCCGACCTACCGTACGTCCGAAGTAGTTCCTCTTGGATCGTTAACCGCGCCAGCTAATACGCCGAGCCGAGACGCTAATCTATAGAGTAAACCGGTTCCTACTCGGATGAAGTTCGAGTCGAGGTTTAAGCGTCCGCGTGGAATCGAACATGGCAAGGCCAGAAAGCGTAATGGTAGCGACGCGAACGGCTTGCTTTCCACGGCAGATTTACCGGATACCCCTGGCTACCGGCTTAACGAGAATCGACTAATGGCCTTGTAGGGTCCCGTCGACGGATGTTCGGTGCTCGCCACTCTGTCCCATCCGACCGAGCACCGTGTAAATCCGATCGCGATCGCGAGCCACTCGAACGCGGAAGTTCCGCGCGATCACCGACCGGACCAGGCCTCGGCAAACTATTACGCTCCGCTACCTATATTATTATGCTTAACCTTCCAAATTACAAACGATTATTATTCCAATTCACGCTCCGATAAATTATGTTTTCTGGGGTCGATCGCGAGTGACGTTTAATGCACGTGAAATGCACGAGCCACGACTCGAACACTGTTTCTGCGGCGCATCTTCATCGTCGCTAGGTTGTCCGTCTACGTCTATCGTCTATTTGGCTGGCAGCGCGCGACTCGCTCGATTCGAATAGCGGTATCCGTGCAGCATCGAAGATGGAGATGGAAAAGTATCGAGCTGTCCCTAACCGAGCATCGACCTTCCAACGTTTCTTCCATCTTCTCTCATTCGCGAAACTTGGCTCGCGTCGAGGCTAAAATATAATATCGTACTAGATTATTCTCGCGTACCTAGGTCGACGTGTCGATATAGTATTTAGCTCGAACGCATGCGTTACAATTACGAGAAAATCTGTATCGAGCACAGAAATCCGCTATACGCGTATAAATAGCTCAGCTCACGATCGACTCGCAAACGAAACGTGTTTATCGCGTGTCTCTCTCTCTCTCTCTCTCTTTTTTTTTTTTTTTTGCGGCGTCGATCAGCGCACGCGTAACCTGTTACAGAGAAGCTGAAAACACATTTTTATTACCAAACGCGTTAATAACTCGCCGCCGCCGACGCCGGCGCTGACGCAGAAAGCCCTTGCGCAACGATCGTTGAAGCTGTGCGCGCAAACGATCGGCAGGTGTGCACAATGGTATCGGTGGTTTTACAACTCCGAGAAACAGGTACGTAGATATCGGAAGCGAATCCGCGACACCGTTGCGAAGAAAAATGAACCGTACGTTATTCGTCACTAATCACAACAATAACAATAACAGCAACAACAACAGTTTTCCCGTAATCCTATTTCCGTAGTTTTTGTCCCAATTGTTGGCCGTTTTGAATGCGCGGTCTTTCAACGGAACGCGGTAGATTCTCTCGAGATAAAAATATCCGCTGGATGCCACGCTCTACGCATTTCAACCTCGCATCGATCCCGGTCGGTGCGCTTCGTTTAAATACAGTTTCTGCTTCGATTAATTCTCCCGATGAACCGCAGCCGCGTTCCCAGAACGGTGCACTCTTCGACGAATGCAACGCCATGCGCGCTTACATATTTCAATTGCAAATCCGAGCGAACCATAGAAAATAACGAAACAACCTAACGCGCATTTCCTTCTCGACCCGCACTTTAACATTTTTTCGGACTAGACTCGTAGACACTTTGCGACACTTTCGATGGTAACTTGTCGCGCGAGCAAGGCTCGTTAGCGTCGGCTCGATAAGAATGAAAATCGAGAAGAATCGTCGACGATGGTAGATCCTTCTTCCGCACCGCTCGCGATGACATTTAAATACCGTTCGTTTAAATACGCGACGCGAGTACACGATACAAAGCTGTTCGTCGTAAAATTGTTTGCTACGAGAGAATTGACCAGCACTTTTCCAAACGTACGCTTCATCGTCTGGCTGGGAAAAATTGAGAGCCGCTACTTTTATTTCTCGGTTTCGCGATCGTTATAAAAGTAATCGCAAAACAACCGCGACACTGGCAAATATCGCGATGGAAACGCAAACGACAGATGCTAACCGAGATTCTTGGTCATACTCGACGATGATCCGCGTTTCTTAGTCCGTGAGGTTCGTACGCTCGGCTGCGATTCCGCTATTTCTTGAAACTTGTCGACGTTGCCTTCTGGTCTTCTCTCTTCTGCCTCTATCGTTCGTGTCGACGTGAACGCGTAAATTCCAAAGATCCTTACGTAAACTAGACGCGGGGATAGAATATCTACGTGGAATCGCCATTAAAGCACTTCTATATCGTTTCTATGTTTTGTTTGAACGGTTAAGAAAAATAAAGAAATGGCTGTTCTCAGGTTGCAATCGAGGATACTATTGTTTAAACGGTGCACGTCGACGCGAGGCGACGTGGTCTATTTCGCTCGGTGATACCGATTATACTTTTCGACCGGTTGTCTTCGAACTTTCTTTCGATCGTTGCCGTCCAGCGACCGAGGATCGCACACGCTCGAGTCGCAAGTGGAAATTTACCTGTTGCGCAACACTTTCTTCCAAGTTCGAATACGTTATCGTTGAAATGGCGACTTACCGATTTTTATCCCTTACCGCAACGATAGTAACCAACTCGATACTAACCTGCAACAAAAAAGAATACCTATCGTTATTTCTTTGTCATCGTCTCGTCTTGAATCGGATCGTCGATTCTACGAGATCGAGAATGG